TTAACTGGATAAGACCAGAGTTTTTGTAAGCCAGGGACATTATTAAAAACCCGATGATCAAGGACGCTCGGTCCAGTTTCGAACCATCAAAAATCAACACGCTTTTCTCAGGGTAGAACCAGCGAACACTATAACCCCTAAGCAACCCAGTTATTATGTATACGAAAACTATTACGTCTTGATAGGACTTTTGGCTTTAGATATTTGGGCATAAAAGTAAATGTTCTTAAATTATGTTCTTCTCCCTTATGTACCTTCTGTACAAAGAGTATATTTTAAAATTAATCTCCGTCCAACAATTTATACGTTTTCGACCTAGATTATCAGCAAATTCTTAGTCAGTCAATAAACTGTAAAAGTTGTTTATAAAAACACGTTGAAATATATAAAACAGTTGCATGCAAAGTATAGATCCTGAAGGTGTATAGACTTTCACATCACGTTTCTGGGAGGCTGTAAAATAAACACGGATAATTTTCCAACTCTTAACTTTTACGTGTGTGTTGCACATGTACGTGAGCTAGGTTGAAAAGTTATAAACAATGTTTTGCTAAACTTCGTGCACGGTTGAAAAAAAAACACTTTTTAGTAATTAAAGTAGCAGAATGATATTGTAAAAAAAAATTATAACCCAAATCTTATCAACTTGGAATGAAGGATGCAAAAGAGGTAGGGTTCGTAGTTATTTTAGTAGATTGTAGCCAGAGGTAACTATTCAAATACAATTCACATGTATCTTTTATACTACAATCAAATTTCGTGCTGTAATACATTTGAATTACATCTTAGTAAAGCAATATTAGTACAACTTTAAACATTTTTAGTTTGTTTTAACATTCCAGACATCAAATAGTTAACTGTGTGATTTACTCTGAGAGCGTTACAGTGTGCTTTCAGGCTCTAATGGTATAAACGCAACAATGGGAGTAATCAGACATAATTGGCTACAGTGCCTGTTACGTAAGATGAACTAGGTTGTATCTTAGGTCTGTAATGTATCTCTATAGTAGTTAACCTTAGGCTAACATCATTTAGTTGCATAATTTAGACGCTTTTAAATTCCTTTAGATTTCAGGGTCGGTATTTTTTAACAAGATTCCTTACGGGGTAGGGGTTACTATTGTTGTCAAATGTTACTTGTAAAAATGCAAACATATTTTCATCGTCTATGGGCACATTCTCAAATTTTTATGAATTTTAGTTTAAACATATGAAAGGTAATTTATTTTATCGAGTTCACCAACAAACCGTCTCTAAAATAGTTGTACACCCTTTTACAGGAGGCTTAAGAATTACAAGTCGAAACATATATCAATATAGTTATTTTCAACCTTAGTTATTATTAACCTCTTATGTCAATTAATCAATCTTTATTGTTAAAAGTAATAGCAACGTTACAAGTTATTTACATGTGTAAGAGATTCGAGACTTCACAAAAATAAAACCTCACCTGACTATGGGAATTAAGTTGATTTAACCGAGCTTTAGTTCCAAATAAGTTTTTCTACTATGCATTTGTATTTCAAATCATAACCGGCAAGGAAAACCGCTAAAAATATACCTGCAGTATATATATAAATGGTTATATAGTATAACAGGAAACCTCAAAAATCTTAAAAATGTACATTGAAGAGGAGCATTTGTTCCAACTACTATTTTTTTATTTGATTTGAAAACATAACTTTGAACTAAAAGGGAAAAGTACAAAAGCAGCTGCATGGATTTCAGAACTCAGGCAGCACTAGCCTTATCTCCACTCTTTTGTTGTTCAAATATTTCCTTTGTTGTTATCCTGCATCTATGACCCTCATCGTGGCAAACAGCCCATAGAGATAGAACATTTAATTTTATGATGATTTAAAACATAATTATACATCTAAAGTTATGGTTTTAAAAGTACTGGTTTTCGACTTAATAACCCAAATAAATTGATGTTATAAACACAGCTGATAATTCATTGTTGCAAATTTATTATGAAACTGCGAAAACAAATTGTGCTCTCATTGCCTCAAACTGTATATCAAAATGTACAACTATTGAAGGAGAATATTTCTGTACGTATTCCCCAGTAAATGCTACAGTTAAATGCTAGATACCACGGAACAGTAACACAGTACATGTATTTCCCCCGGGCTTCGATCAGTCGAATTCTGTTTCTTTTTCTAAGATTCGTGAAAGTTTTATAAGTCAGTGTTTGTTCTTTTATAAGAAACCAACCACCTAAAACCTCTACGTTTAGAGTTTATTTTTATTCTAATATGAAAATCCTCCAAGACAAATATATTACTTTAACTAAAAATTACTGATCAATGTGAAAATCGCTATACTAAAGAGAAACCCGTTTAAGGAAGAAAATATTCTATGTTGTGGAAAAAATTAACTCGAATTTAAAAAAGGTATTTTATATTTGAGGCTGTGATATTTCAGTCTATATAGATATAATTTGCTATCAATTAATTGTTAATATTATCCATGAAAATTACATCTCGTGTTGTTTTAACGGGAGGAAATTCATCATCTGAGAATGCAGTGTAAAGGGCCCCAGAGATTCCCCGGCAGCAACCATGCATTACAACAGCTCTGATCGCATCACAGCTATCCCAGCATGCTATATGGGATTAACACCTTCACAGGAGGTAAATCGCTTACCTCTAACCAAGCAAAACTCTGTGTTATAGTTTACACTCTAAGCTATTTAAACGTTCTTTTGACGGATATTGCTAACAAATAAATATGTTTGAAATAAAAGTTTTTGAATGAAATTGGTACCAATTAATTTTTTCCTAGGGAAAAAAGCTGTACAAAATAGCTTTCATTGTGGCCTTTGTGATGACTGCCAAAAACTAAGTAAACTTTTGAACTTTAAATTTGATAATTGATTGTCTTTTTAGTTATATAAGAGCTAAGCTGTCCAGACATGTCTATATCAATTGGGTAAAGTGTAGAAAAACGTTTGCTAAATACAGTGGTAAACATAGTCTTGGATTTTAGTATAGCTTGAAAAACAGTTAATGGTAAAAAACTTAAATAGATATTTAAAAAGACCATTGTTTTAAAAACATTAACATAACATTAACATAATACGCGTGTAATTTTAATACATTAACGTATTATTGTACTGTTGTTTCAAAACATATGCATTAATAATATTTGCACCCAAACCTAAATAGAACATAAGAACCAATGTTTGATGAAATTGGAAAAGTATGTTTTTTAAACATACACTTTTAGAGTTATTTTTCCTTGAATAAAATTTAAAACTAAATTTAAGCCTTCTTTAAAAATAATTTAATAATAATCAGGCAAGTTTTATGTATGTGAAAAATATGTTTTATATTTACAGAACGAGTTTCAGGATGAGATCAGATGGAGGGAAGAAAAATAGATTAATTTGGGAGGCCAATGTGTCCCCTGTCACTGGATCACTCTCAATTTACTTTTTTCGACAGAACTTTGAGGATCCCATCACACCGAGAATTTTTTAATATTTATATTTATTATTGTGACAAATTGAAATATGTATATAATTATATCGACATCGAAATACTTACAATTAAGTTACAATAATGACTGTTAACTTGAGAATATAATGTTCTGGACACAACTATACCTGACAATGAAAGCGGTACAACCTATACAGTATAGTAAACATTAAATAATGTCTGTCATTTCATAACCTTAATTACAATTGAAATTTCACGACTAATAATTTTTCATTTCTAGGATATAATATTTTTCATCGACGAACACAATTATTCCTTTCTATAAATTGAGTACTGTATCATTTCATCCACTATTCACATATGGGATACTTATCACTTAAAAAGGACATTAAATAACTAGTTTATATAGAAAAAATGTATTCTTTAACATTTCCAAAATGTTGGAGAACACGTAAATATTAAACATTTGCAATGTTTAATATTTTTGTTAAGGAAGATGTGTTTATTTTTTTCTGCCCTCCATATATTTGTTTGTATGTAGAACAGTTATAAATATACAAACTTAGGCTTATAACCCGTAATTCAAGAAACGTTGAGATATTTCAGGTGTTAGTCCTGTATATTTTATGAGAGAAATACATTGTATAGACCAACGGTTTGGACGGTTTCTTAGACAGGCCTGTGAATGGAGGCAGTCAAGTAGAGCCGTCACTGTTCAACAACTCTTTATAATACAGTATCTACAAAGCTTAGTATATTTTCAACAATTCTATGCAAACACAGTATCTAGGATAATTACATGAGTATAACAAATCCAGATACTCATATAAAACATGTAAGAGTACATAGCAAAATTTAAAATCTAAGGAACAAGTCTACGTACGCTACCTAATACATTATGGCCAAAAGACAACCATACAAATACACTACAATATGTCAAAATATGCAGTTTCTAATAATATTTATCATCAGTTTAGTACTAACTTTATTCAGTTTCATCAGTATTACAAGTCCTAACCCAGCAGCCACATCCGGTCGGTAAAAAATTCCTATCATATGCAGCAACTTTATGTAGCATCGTTAATTCATTCTATGGTGTACTTCAGCTTCCATAATAATCGGTTAGCAAAAGAAAGAAATAAAAGAATATCGAATCGATAGGTGTTTATGATTACTATCATATTGTGTTTATGATTATAGCTCAAATGGTGTTAAAATAAACCATTTAACAATACATTTCTGGCAATCGATATGTGTAATTGGATTAATTATATGTTTTGTTATGGGAACTATCAAATAATTACTTTAAATTAACCTTTGTTCTTCGATATTTTACATAAAATGTGTAATTGTATTTCAAACTATTGTTTTATTACAGTAAACTGTAACGTACAGTGATTGTTTAACTACGTAAGTAGCACAATCTATAACCGAGAGATTGTATATATTAAAGAATAATATTGATAGGAGCCAACAAGGAACTCAAACCAACAAACAAGATTACGAGGCAACAAACAACAAACAACAAACACTATGGCTGGGTAAACACAACCTTACCACAATGTACATATTCTGGCAAATTTAATTTAGACGTTGAGGCTAAAACTTCTCTTTTGTTGGGATATTTTCTTCAAACGTTTTCTCCCAGAACATCGATACTACAAATAAAACAAAATAGTTAGCACACAAATGTTATTTAAACAATTACTAGTGTGCATGTTGCTCGAAATCGAGCAATTGAAAAGAAGTACAGGAGTTATTTATAAACAAATAACTTGTTTAAATACTAATAACAGTCATAATTTTCGATGATTTTAAAAGAGTCAACTAAAAGATTATTAACTCATGGTAATACTCACAATTTACATAACAGTCCTATTCCAGTTTAAAGTGTTAATTTTTAACAACCAAACTGCCCATGGACGGGAAAAGGTAAGCTTACAATTTAAGTCATCGTAAAAAGGCTGTCAGCTTTTATAAAGTACCGTACCTAAGTTATTTAGCCAATTTGTAGACAATAAGGTGTAGGCTACTTTAAACTCTACAGGACAGAGTAAGGCAAAAACTGGCAGAACTCTGAAATGGTGTTATTTATCATAGGCTTACTCATGCCAAATCCTTAAAATTAAAAAAAAATCAATAACAAATAACTTATTTAATTTAACACAAACCAACATCAAAAACTATACACGAAATTTTGAAATAGGCATTTGACAGTTCTGGTTGTTTACATTTAAATGTCAATCAAATGTAAACATTGTGAATTTTCTAATGCTTCCATGGAGACCAATTATTAATATTTAATTTCTGACAACAGCTGGAGTTTCAAAACAATATTTGTTTCCCATGTTAATCTTATGGAGAAATACGAAACTTTAAAGGGCCCCAGGGCCTCACTCTCTAATTATTTCCCAAAAAGAAAGTTTCCTGCACAACTTCACGTTACGCTCTTTCCAATGACACCAAAAACATGTCAATCGGTTCAGTAGTTTCGGAGGAGTAATTGTCACAAAAATCCTGCTTGCGTATTAAATAAGTATAGATTACCTTAAGAACAATATACAAAGATAATCTCTAAATTATTATGTATACTGTTGTAATTTGAAGGTCACGTTAGTACAGCTTCGTCGAGATGAAAATCAGCTGACCAAAACTCACGCCCCACTTTAACACTTTGTTTTGGCGCCGTGCCGTGTAAACCACTTTACTTGTCAGGGCTTTTTCTTTCTGTCAATTGTTGCTTCACCAAGTTACCTTTTGCAATGTGTTTTATAATATTTAAATCCCTTGAAGCTATGTTACTTCTTAAATAATATAAGAATTGTTTCCAAAATACATTCGTTTAATATACGATGCAAAAACTTGTAACTAGAAGTTAAGAACTACTTTAAAATTTCTGTAAATACTTAAACAAATTACTATAAATTCCTCTATGCTTACACTCATGAGAACATTTAATTACCATTTCTGAATGATAATGACAAAGTTTGTCCCAGGGAACTTTCTTACACGACATTAAAAGTTTGATTTCCAAAGTTCAACGAGAAACTGGCTTCGGAGATCTACGAGTTAATTAATGTGCAAATTTAAAATTTGCATGCATCAAGACATTTATTAATATGAAACATCTTACTCAGACTTGTAAATTTCAATAAAATTACAATTTTTTTACTAAATAAACTATGTACTTTTCGAAACAATCCATGCTATAGCAGTCTACTCATTGAATGCAAAAACATATTTACCATAAAAGCCAAAACTAAAAATAAAAAATTAGAAATTAAAACTAAATAAAAATATAATAAAATAAAATAAAAAATGCTAAATTAGTTATGTCAGTGTGCGTCTGTGCGAATCGGCTGCAAATCTCACTTCAACGCTTCTCACGTCGTAAAAATTGCAGAATTGCTGTTTTATTGTAAAATTATCGGATTTAAAATGCATATCGTATAGGCCTATGATGGAATAAAAATATATTTGGTCACACAACATTTGTTTACAAGATGATTTTTCACATTAAAACTGCAAGAAACTTTGTCTTTATATGTGTAAACTAGCTGATCTGAATTGTACACGGTTTTAACTGACTACTGAATTCCCGTACGTAGGACGGGCTAACACCTCGTTTATATCTATATTACTTCTTTAATACGCAAGCAAGATTTTTGTGACAATTACTCCTCCGAAACTACTGAACCGATTGACATGTTTTTGGTGTCATTAGAAAGAGCGTAACGTGAAGTTGTGCAGGAAACTTTCTTTTTAGGTAAATAATTAGAGAGTGAGTCCCTGGGGCCCTTTAAAGTTTCGTATTTCTCCATAAGATTAACATGGGAAACAAACATTGTTTTGAAACTCCAGCTGTTGTCAGAAATTAAATATGTGAACAACCAGAACTATCAAATGCCTGAAGAAGAACACATGTTGTTAATTGTAAACAGTCAATGTGTAAATTAACTATGTTGTATTAAAAATGTGTATAGTTTTGGATGTTGGTTTGTGTTTAATGATATACGTTATTAATTATTGAATTTTTATTTTAAGGGTTTGGCATATGAGTATGTCTATGATAAATAACTCCATTTCAGAGTTCTGCCAGTTTTTGCCTCTGTTCTGTAGAGTTTAAAGTAGCCTACACCCTCGCCTACAAATTGGCTAAATAACTTAGGTAGGCCTAACATTATAAAAGCTGACAGCCTTTTTACTTTGACTTAAATTGTAAGCTTACCTTTTCCCGTCCATGGACAGTTTGATAGTTAAACATTAACCCTTTAAACTGGAAGAGGACTGTTATGTAAATTGTGAGTATTTTTATCAGTTAATAACCTTTTAGTTGACTCTTTTAAAATCATCGGAAATTATGAGTTATTAGTTTTTAAACAAGTCATTTGTTTATTTGTAACTCCTCAACTCATGTACTTATTTGAAATTGCTCGATTTCGAGCAACATGTACACTAGTTTATATTAATATATTATTATATGTATATGGTGCAATGCTTAATGTGCAATCAACTGCATTTTACACCCTCCATTCAAACATTATGCATAAGGTTTTGCAACTAGAAAGTAGAGGAGACGAAGTACGATACTTTTAAACTATCCCCTCCATTGAAGCGAAATTACCTTTTTCTGGTCATGTATTCAAGTGGAAACTCAAGCTGGCCGGCTATTCTTTTGTTGCTCTACCCCAATTAAAATAACTAGAAATCAATTTTGTAAATCATAAAATATTCGTATGTACAATATAAAACATTTTCATTGCATAGTGCATGGTATGAGTTACAGTTGTATTGTAACAGATTCAATACTTGTGGTAAGAAATAAATAAACTCTAAGTTTTCAGCGCACGTAGGTGTGTGAGCCGGGACATGTCTAGCAACAAGCAAATGCACTGCAGCCGATCTAAAACAATATCCAAGTATAGTAGTTTTTTTTCCTTCACTACAACCTCTTTTCGAATAATTTGAAACATTGTACGCAAATAGAGCTTGCAAAAAAAAAGCTTTTTCAGACACTCACCTGACAAAGTGGGCTTCCTTACACTTATTCCAACACAAAAAGTTGTTGATTGCTGCAATTACTTACTTTTGCCGCTCTATTTTTCCGCACTCCAGTATTCCATACAACAACACAAAACAGCGGGCTTTATAAGGCACGTCGTGTACGCTTGAAAATAAGTTGGTAAAACTTAAAGATATTACGCTTACGATTAGTTGGTGCAGCGATTCCCATTTTGTTCAAGGTTTGTATTTAACCTAACCTAAAAACGTGTTGCACAGTGTTTGAAAGACTAATTATTTATATGCTTTATAGTAACTGTAGGACAAATATACCCTAATGTGACGTGAGTGCAAACTGCCTTTGGTGCACTCGAGAAACTTCACACTCGCCTACGGCTCGTGCGTGAACATTTCTGTCATATGCAACAAAGTGCCACTTCGCCCACTATTCACACAAATAACTATAGTAGAGTAGATTTTACTTATTTTATTAACCTATCTACTACAATGATTAGTGCCGATCTTTTATTTTGCAGAGTAGTTTTCCGATGCAATTGTTAGACATTGGTTATTTTTAGCTAATTGCATCTTACAGTGTCATATTTTACAGCAAACAAAATGTAAATTGTGCAAGTGTGTGTTTCTCTATAGTTGTAAGCACTTACTAAGAGAAATTGTGTTCAAAGTATTTAAACTATCAAAATAAAATGGGTGCATGACCGGTGTCGAAGCTTTTTCTCTAAGCAAGGGGAAAAATGTAAACTCACTGTGTTAGATCTTATAATTATACATTTAGAAGACAGGACTTATCTTCTGGAGGCCTAATTTCAAATCAGATCCAAGTGTTTTTTCCTCTGTATTCAAGTTAATATTGTATAAATCCTTGGAATTATGTCTACTAATCTATATAACAAATTATAGATTTCTCAGACGAAGAAAACTGCTTCTGTGTCCCCGCTAAAATCCACAAGAGCTTGTTTGGCGGACATTAAGTCTAATTTGAACAGGATTATGTCTTGTGAGATTGTGAGCAATAAATTTATTAACGTTATGTAAGGCGACATTTAAGGGCCATTTGAGGCACAGGAGGACGACTTGTCCTAATCTAAGGATAATTAATGGCTTGGCTTAGAGAAGCGACGGAGCGGAATGTACTGAAAATGTTCATCCAATGTTTGTTTATGTTTCAATGCTTGTAGAAAACACCGAAAACTTTATTAAATGTGCCGAAATTCCTAAATTAAATGCTGCCAAACGTTAATCAAATCCCATGATATTTGGTAGTAAAAACAAACATGTGTAAGAGCTTATATTTTCCCCTGACAGTCTTATTAGTATTCCCATTTAGTATTTACTTATTGATTGATAATATTTATGTAATTTTAATTATTATAACGTTATTTGTTTTTAAGTACTTTTAATTTGTATATGGAGACCTATTGTTTTTTAACTACCACGAGAATATTCTGTACCATAGGGCCTAGATGCAAGGGAGGTAAGATATCAATATTAAAAGAAAAACGATTTATTTTTTTACATTTTAATTAATAAATCAAACCCATAAATTTGAATGGTTCATGTTAATAAGCTTCTAGAAATCCAAAAAGCTATGGTTTATTATTAAAAATG